TTGGCTCCAAGGAGGAGATCGAGAAGATCATTGCTATGTACAACAAGTACAAGAAATAAGCGTCTCGCTGAGATGCACATTCCCTCTTGACACTATTTATTCATGTACCTCATTCTTGGACATGATGATTTAGCTGGTCGGGGTTTACGTTTTAGTTCCCCGGCCTCTGCCTCTGCCTCGTTGCAGTCTTTGTTTTCAGCGCCTTTACGATACTTACCTGCACAAGTCGGGATTAAAAATAAAATAAAATCACTCAAATCATACTTTTCCGTAGTGCTACCAACTATGTTGTATACTTTATGGCGCATGCAGAGGATAGAAACGCCACCAGGTCTCCTAGAGTAGCTTATAAGCTTATGTTTAATTGATATAAGATCTATATAACCTGCATTTGTTTAATTCCGCCATCCGGGTAAAAGCTCAAACGCCCAATCAAAACGGGGCTTGGCGATTGCTTGATGCAGTTTTGGTGATAGCGTCCAAATATTCACCGGCAAATTCGATGACTCCTCATTCAAGCGGCTGATGGCGTGCTCTGATTTAGCCCTATAACAGCTCAGAGCTTCTGAAAAAAAAAATAAAGTTATCCTAGACATCTGATCGGCATCTTATCCTCATACCCTAGCTAGTCCTGTTGTTACAAGGAGATACATAATCCTGGTGGTATATACATATTCAACCATGTCTTCCCCACCTATCGAAAAAGCCCTGCGGACAATCGAAGCTGAGGAAAATCCCACGAAATCAGAAAATCAGGCCGGCTCTGAGCCTGCACGCCAGAAATGGTATGAGTGGTTTGCGCCGACGGATACCCCTGCCGAGCGGCGGTTGATCCTCAAGCTTGATGGACTGATCATCGTTTTCGTCTTCCTGGCGCACTGGGCTAAGGTCTTGGATTCTTCGGCTACAAGTACAGCCTATGTGTCTGGCATGAAGGAAGATTTGAAGCTTTATGGAAACCAATTGAATTATCTGCAGACGGTCTACATGTATGTCTACCTGATGGGTTGGTGATGGTGCCTGGGGAGTGAGAATTGAGGATTGATACTGACTTGGTGTAGGGTTGGTTTCATCACGATGCAGATTCCTCTGACATTGTTGGTTCGTTATTACTTACAATCAACCCCGTAAAGGTGCTGACTTGCTGACTGCTTTTCATAGATGACTCGATGCCCTGTGAATTATTTCCTGCCTGCCGCTGATCTATTATGGGGCGTCTTCACCCTGGCGCAGTACAAGGCTAGCAATGTCACCCAGCTCTATGCTCTTCGCTTCTTCGTCGGCGCCCTCGGTGGCTTCTTCTTCCCTGCCGTGCAATGGTACCTGGGCAGCTGGTACAAGCGCTCAGAACTGTCTCGTCGAGGCGCGATCTTCTTTATTGCCTCCCAGGTCGGCAGCATGAGCTCAGGGTACATTCAAGCGGGAGCTTATGCTAGGCTTAATGGTCGGTATGGGGTTGAAGGGTGGAGATGGCTGTACATCATTTGTGAGTGTATTCAAAGTGTCCTACAAGAAGAAAAGGAATAAGAGACACAGACTAATGATATCAGGCTTTGCATGCACAATCCCCATTGCCTTCCTAGGCTTATGCGTCCTCCCCAGCACACCAGACAAATGCAACTCACGCTTCCTCACTGTTGACGAAGTCCGCCTCGCACAAGAGCGCATGGCATCCGAGAACCGTGAAGCCCGCCAACCTTTCACCAAGTCAAGGGTTCTCCAGATCCTGAAAGGCTGGCGATTGTGGATCCTAGTCGCGTTTGCATTCTTTTTCTCGCAGGCAGACGGTGTATCATCGAACAGCGGCTTGCCAATCTGGCTTAAGCAGGAGGGATACTCGGTCGAGAGTATCAATACGCTCACAACAGTCTCGCCGGCAGTCACCATTGTGGCGTCTGTGATCTGTGGAGTTCTAGCTGATGTGTACGATGCGAAGGCTAGCTTGATTGCTGCCACTGCCGCGCTGAATATCTTTGCTTGTATTGTGCTAGCTATCTGGAATGTCCCTGTTGGACTGAAGTTCTTCGCGTTCTTTCTGTCTGGCACAGCGAATGGTATTGCGGCTATTATCTATGCCTGGGCAAATGAGATATGTGCTCATAGTGCCGAGGAGCGTGCTCTCGTCATCAGTGCTATGAATACCATTGGTAATACATTTGGGGCTTGGATTCCGCTTTTGTGAGTATTGGTGCAACCTGCTGATGCTGAAATTTATACTAACTTTCTTTCCTTATCCAGCGTGTGGAAGACTGTCGATGCCCCGAGGTACCTTATTGGATATAACTGGACTATTGCCCTTGATGTGTGCATGCTAGTTGTGCTGGCTGTTCTATGTCAGTTCTGGGCCCGTGAAAAGAAGCGGTCTCATGCATAGATGGGTATTATACCAGAAGGGGGTAGAATAATAGACTAAGATAATTTAATGATTCGATTCCGAATTTTCCCCACTATGGTCTACATAACTGTAGTAGTATGTACGGAGTAATAATCCGTACTCTGTACTAGTCATGCTTCCTGGATGACCTCGGGAGCCTTCCGATGTCTGGGGTCCGTGGACGGGTCCGTGGACGGGTCCGTGGACTACCTACCTAGGTACTTCTAAGGTTGACATAAGCAGAACTCGGCTATGTAGAGCTAGTCCAAATATGTGCTAGCCCCGGCTGAAGGTGATTCCGCGCCGTCGGAGCTTGAAAAAAGTACAAATTTCTGCTTTCACTCTTTTCTCTTCCATCATCCTACGCTCATCTTCAGCATGGTTAATGCTTCCAATGCAAATGGAGATTGAGGTCGATTGATATCTGGCCTTGAGCCGACCGTAACTTTTTGACACAAGGTGTTCTTCACTAATAAACAGGTGCTCTGCAGAATCTGCAACGATGGTAAGATCTTTCCCATTCCATTCCCTCAACACACCCACGCACCTCCCAACATGATGATACCTTTAACCAAACAAACTAGAGTCTTTGACCTCAAGGGGAATGAAACTTATGTTATTGCACGTCAGGCTGATCTTACCTCATTAATTTGAATTATCACACAATTTTTGAGTTGGACTGAGCTAACTTGCTTTTCCAGAAATGATAGTATAATCATATCATCGATTGCAGATACCACTCGACAACAAGCGCAGATGGTGAGTTCCTTTGCTTTTGTTTTACCCTTCTCTACCCTTTATCATGATGAACGCGATGTGTATGAAAATACGCTGGAAATTACCGTCTCAGACCTTCGGGTCGGTGATGATACAAATGGCTATTTCTGATCCTTACCTTACCTCAATATTTGCATGAAAATTCTTTTCAAAGCACGAGCTAATGTTTCGAAGACCAATAGGTTACTGCGCTGGTTCAAATGGTAAGCCTGAAGCACCTTTCTTACAATATCCTCTGTCCGAAGATGAAACGGCACTGGGCTCCGACGGCGTTTAAAAAAATGTCCGGTCATGATTGGAGATGCCCTTTTTGCGGCAGGCCTAGAAAACCTCGCCCACTGAGACATACCATATATTCATCAACTCGTGAGATGGTTGCGTGACACAGTCACTAACCTTTTTGAATAGAAGCCTATTTGATTGTTTCCGACTGAGACCCAATTGTAACTGTAGAAGGTAAGCGACTGAGTCTGGTGTTTTTGTTTGCTGCCCTACCTTTTTATGATGATACCCTTTAGATGACGAGTCTGATTCGAGTTTTCGATGCTGACACATCTTTTTTAATAACCATTCATGCCTTTCTGACATTCACTCCAACACATAATTTCACTCATCAAATGTTATTGGCTAGTGCTAATGATTCTTTGAAGACAGATATTTTCCCTGAAGTTCCCCAAGTTCCAAGAACTACGTCTTGCCTTGAATATGGGTGTATGTACACCTTGTCTCCTTCCCCTTCCCGACCCTACATGATGAAACGACATAAAAAGACAAGCATATGTCCAAGTCAGCTTGCTGGCGAAGACGAGAAACTGTCATGCCTGATCAATTCACGACTCTCATGCATTGCTACAATGTCCATTCAGTACTCGATGCTGATGGATCTTGAACAGAAATAACTTGATTGAACTAATATCGCAGACGCCATTCGCTATCTGCTCTACTTCTCTGTAAGTTGTGACAATTTTTTTTCTTCTCTTGCCTCATCCTTTTATGATGATTCACTTCAATTTATCACGACGGTCAACGTAAGGATTTAAAATTGACGACCACCGCCTGTGACAAGGCTTTTATCTGAAATACCCTCTATCATATTTTCTTTCTTGCCATCGCTTGTTAGTCTTGACACTAATATCGATTTAGTGAACAGTATGTTTCAAAAAGATCGGAGCCGTCGGTATTCCTTCGGCCGAGGCATGGGAGTTAGTAGTTTAATAGAGAAGTTTATAATGCATACCAATAAGAATTCAAGAAAAAAACATGATCCTTGCTTAAAATGTATGAAAGTGTTAGTTTTATTTTTATAGTACATATGTGCGGAGTACGGAGTATATTATACATTTCCCGCCCCCCTCTAACTTTGTAGATACAACCCTGCATATTCTCATCACTCTTATAACTTCTTTTTTTTATTTTTTAAAAGAGATAATATAAGATATATAAGAGATATAAGAGATAATCCCATGATCCTCTGTAATTTGTTGTTTTATTGCGGGGACAAGGTGGTAACAAGGATGTCTGACCTCTCATAGAGAACGATAAGCGCCGAGCTTGGACCCCGAATGTGATGAGAATCACCTCAGGTGCATAACAATCCCCGCTCCGGTCTGGCTCATTTGTTCATGCAAAGTTCTTTCTTGTTCCTAAATATAGATTTCCCTTTGCCATACATCGTATGGGCGCACATCATCCTTTGCAATACTATGGGCTAGACTATCTTTCTGCCCTCCGCAGTTGAGAATAGAAAAATTAGCGTCTCGCCTGTTTCGAGCCAATAGCTTTTTCTCTGTTCTGTTGGGATATCCTCTTTCATTCCAGAGCGGCCATGGCTTCGGATCGGGCCTCCTAAATGGATGCACAGCCCAATATGAATAGGTGCGACCCCATCTTATTCTCCCGTTCTATATACTGATCCCTCTTTAGCTGGGGTTCAAATCATGCAGGTGTCGAGCAGCCGCTGAGCAACCATTATTCGGGCTGGTCATCGACAGCTGCGAGTCCCAGCAATCTGCCATCACCAGGTCGCCGAGAACATGCTGTACAGCCCCCATTGTTGACAACAGCACTGAGCGGTCCTCAATACCAAGGTCTTGGGGCTGGTCTTGGACTAACACCGACGCCTTTATCATCGACCTCGCTTTCGAGCCCATTTACTCACGGTCTATCGTCTAGTGTTCCATCTCCCATTAACGGCAGATCGGTTTCGTCGTCTTCGATGGCGTCTAGAAACGCATACAATGTTCCTTATAATCCCCAGGACTGGGGGCCTCCGGGCAGGCCCCAGGCGCAGGCCCCATATCTTCAGCCAGGTGCTATGCATCGTGTGACGCCGCAAAGAAATAATCCGGGTGAGTCTCGCTCACAGCCTATGCCTCTGTGGACCAGTGGTATCCCAAGACCTGCTTTGAATTGATATTGATCCTTTGGTAGATGTGTCGTTGTCTCCACCTCCTCCGCCATACTCACCTCCCAGCAACCAAAATCAAATATCGCGGGACTTTTCTGGTCAGACAAATCCTCCATTTGCCGGAACGCCTTCTCCGCCTGATAACAGGGAGGGCGGGTTTGATATGCCTGTTCAGTACCAACGACGCTCAAACCGGCCACGGCCACTATCTATGGCTTACCCGTCTGACTCGGGATCTCAGCGCGGGTCGCTACCTCCTCCGCCTCCCCCGCAGGGACATCCGGCGAGTAGATCTGTTTCTCAGGGTCGAGTGGAGTACCACGGTATGCCCTATAATGACCAGGCTATGCAATATAATGCTGCTAGCCACAGGCCCCAACTGTCACAGTATGACCAGGGCCAATCCTCGCCCTTTAACGAGCATATGTCTGCAAATCATGCTCACTTCGAGACACTATCCCGGGCTCCCGGATCCCGAAGAGCCGCATCTGCTGGGGCTGTAATAAGCAGCGCGGGTTCATCGAGGGCAACGAGCCAATCGCGAAATCGATCGCCGTCAAATAGTAATTGGGAACCCGGGATGCCACTTCCGCCACCACCTCCAGGGCCACCTCCCGCTGCAAGGTCTGTCAGCGTGAGTGGCTCGTCGGAATCGTCATCTCTGAGAACCACTCAGAGCTCGAATAGGACGACGAGAAGGGGACCTCCCGTGCTTGGAACAGGACTGGGAAGCATCCCGCCTACGCCAGCTGACTGGATAGACGAGGGTTATTTGAACAGTCGACCAACGGAGAGTTTATATGTTGACACGGCAAAAGCGGCCAAGGCACCAGAGCCGACGGATGGAGATCCCCACGATTCATCTAATCAGAAAACTCCTGGCAGCGGCGGTCTTTTCCGCAGCTCAGCAGTCCGCGATCCAAGTGCCAAAGGCATCCGTGAAAGGCGAATTGAACGACGCAACCGACAAAGTCAGGTCTTTGAACCCCCGAGTGCGATATCGCCAAATGGTAATCCTTGGGCCGATGCTCTCGAGCAGATCAAACCGTCGAACCTGATCCTACCAGACCAGATCAATAGCCCGAATCAAGATCAGAATCCAACGTCGGCCAAGTACGACAAAACCCCTCGCAACATCAAACCAGAAGGACAAAATACTGCCTCACGGCCTCGGGCATCGTCCAGCGCTGTGCTTCGAGAGAAATCACCCTATGGTACTCCTAGACAACAACCTAGCTCTGCTGGACCCTCGGCTGCATTTGCACACACGCCTCCATTTTCGCCAAATCCAAATGGGGTGGGTTCATCAGCATATCCTAAAGAAGCTAGCCAAGCAGTACCACCAAAGGCACTACCAACTCCGCCTCTTAACTCAGCAAAAGAGGTCCGGCCACGCTCACGCTCCCGTGCACCCTCCCGAGGAGCGGAGGACCGTCCACTCTCTCACATTCTCCACATGCCTAACGATGCTGTGTCGATTATGAAACCCTTGTCGCCACGCCGAATTCCGGGGCAGCAAACCGTGCAGGTGTCAATGGAATCGATCCTTAGGCAAGATCCTGCTTTCCTACAGGATGCGATTCAAAGGCACAAGACCTTTATTGATAAAGAAGCCAGTGCCGATGATGATGCCGAAGCACTCAAGATATTTGCGGACTATATGCTTGCCGAATCTCAGATCCGGCGTCAGCGATACGCCAAGGTCTGGGAATCTTTCCAAGTTGACGATGTGCGTCGCAATCTGTTCGAGTTGCCAGCCAAGCAACCACCAAAGCCTAAGCCCCAGCCAAAGCTAGATATCCCACAAAACCGTGCAGGCCGGCCGGAGTCTGCGTGGTGGAATAACTATCAGCCTTGCCTGTCGCCAATTGCCAGCCTCAACATGAGCAATGATGAGAGCTCTCGAGGCCGCGCACCAAGCCGCTGGTGGGAGTCGGCAACCGGTTCCAGCGGCGAGGGGGGCGAGAGAAGAGTCCAACGATCCAAGCGGGAATCAAAGTACATGGGCTTGCCTCGGGAGGCTATGCAGTGGGATCAGGAATTGACTCCTTCTCAGCCCAAAGACGTGAGTATGGACTATGGGAATACGGAATATGGTTCTGATGAATACCCACCTGAGAAAGTCGGCTGGCATGAAGAGTCTCCTGCAAATTCCGCCGGGTCTGGATATCGCTATGAAAGCCGCAATTTAGATATCTCGCGGTTGATCACCCTACCTCCGCCTTATCCCCGCCACCATCCTGCTGTGAATAACAGCCATCCCGATTTGGTTACCCATAGAACTACGGTCCGGTCAATTACTGACCTTGCGGAGATCAAAACCACCAGACATCGGTATAAGGCTGACGTGGAGCGAATGCTTCAAGAACACCAGCAACAAGTCGACGAGGGCCACCGCCACTTCAGGTCGAACATCCAAAGCCAGATCCAAGATGGCAGTCTCACCTTTGCAGAAGCAGCAGAGGCCGAGGCAGCGATGATTGCCGCGGAGAACGAGCGAGAAAGGGCAATGGTCAAACGCCAGCTAGACACGTACCAAGAAACAGTGCTTAAGCCGATGAACGCCATTCTCGTGGATAGAATTAGTAGAGCAACAGCCTGCATCGACCAGCTGAGCAGTATGCTCTCGGATGATGCACAGAGCGGGACACCAGATCAAACCCAGGAAGAAGGCGATGAGAAGCCCGAGCTTTTAGAGAAACTGACGCAACTAAAATGGCTCTTCGAGGCCCGCGAGCAGCTCCACCGCGAGTCATTCGACCTGATCACTGACCGCGATGACAAATACAAAGCTGTCGCTCTGCTTCCCTACAAGCAGACCAAAAACGAAGACAAGCTACGGGAGACGCAAGCATTCTTCACCCAGGATGCACTCGACCGTCGCGTGCAGTACGAAAACGAGGCGTTAACCCGGCTCGAGACGTTCCTGGATGTCATTGAGCAGAACGTCATGCGAGGCGTCGAGGTGCAGCTCTCCGCATTTTGGGATATCGCCCCATCCCTCCTGGCTCTTGTACAGCAGGCGCCTGAGGACCTGCGCGGCTTCCAGGTGCAGATACCCGCAGATGAATACGAGGAAAACCCGAGCTATAATGAGCATCCGCTGCAGTATCTATATACGCTGCTGTCGCATGCGGAGAAATCGAGCTACCAGTTCATTGAGTCGCAGACGAATCTGCTATGCCTCTTGCATGAGGTGCGGTCTGCTGTTATGCGGGCTAATCAGAAGCTTGTGGAAGCACAGCGTATTAAACACGGGGAGACGGAGGAGGATGTTCGTCGTGAAATGCAGGAGACTCGTGCTGATGAAGAATTGGCCCTAACAACTGATCTTAAGGATAAGGTTGCTACCGTCGAGGGTCAGTGGACTGAGGCCCTGGGGAGCCAAATCGAGGGGTTGAGAGAAAGGGTGAAGGAACAGCTTATGGCTGAAAATGGCTGGGAGGAATTGGAACAATTGGAGGAATAGAAGAGTGGCTTTTGTGAATTTTTTATTTTTTTGACTATGTACTTGGCAGCGTGATATCCCCATTCGTTCGTTATAGATGGAGTGATGCGAGGCAGTGCCTGCAACACTTTGAATTTTTGATCTCCTTTAGGGATGTGAGGGTTGAATTTACACATATTTCAACCATTGAGTCTAGTAAATCCAAATAATATAGCTCGATTCCAGTGAAGTTGAAGAATGACCTCATGATATACTGAGAAATCGCTAGCGCTATCCACAGTCACGTGCACCTTCTAGAGTCTTCCGCGACCCTTCAAATAGCTCTTTTTCCCCTCGACCCTCCTGTCTTTTCACTTCACCTCATTCCTTAATGTTCTGGACTTGATTACACCAACTGTAAGTTTGAATTGCCTTTTGCTTTTACTACATTCCCTTTAAGTGCAAAAAAAGAGGGTGGGATTTTCATCCTGCCCCTCGACAACACTCAATTGGCCTTAACATGAAGAGACTTCAGCTGGCACCAGTCTGAGAGATGATTCTCCATCTACTTGCGGACAACGCTTAACAAGTCCGGGATTACGCCCCAGGACCTGACATTGGCCTTTCCTTCACATGCAATTTTCATCCACTGCGAGAAAAAGATCCATGGCTAACAGGAATTTCCAACAGAACTTTTAGAACTATTTTTCCCCCTCAGAAGATTTCTTTTCTATAAAAAAAACAGGAAGCAACCCACTTCCTAACCCAAAATCAGGTTTTTCTTTCATTTACCTAGTCAACATTCATCATGGTCCTTCACAACCCCAACAACTGGCACTGGGTCAACAAGGATGCCTCTGGCTGGGCCAAGGAGTACTTGCAAAAGAACCTGGTCGGCCTCAGTGTCGAGGAAGGGGGCGTGTCAGCCAAAGTAGACAAGCTGTTGTCCATGGATGGCGACGTAGATGTCAGCCAACGCAAGGGCAAGGTCATCACTCTGTTCGATGTCAAGGTCTCGCTAGAATACTCAGGTTTGTAGTCCAATATCAATTCAGCTTATTTCTATGTCTTTTTTTTATTATTTTTGTGGACTTGGCAGCTGAGACGCTTCCATAGGTAAGACCAAGGACGATGAGGATGTCAGCGGCACCATCAACATCCCCGAGGTAGCTCACGATACCGAGGAAGATGAGTACGTCGTATGTTCAATTAACCTATCCCCATCGCCAAGGTGATCTGTAATACTAATCATGTAAACCCACATACAGTTTGAGATTGAAAACAAAGCCGACTCCAACTCCAAACAGCCCGTAAAGGACCTGGTGCGCACAAAGCTCGTCGCTGAACTCCGCAAGACCCTCTCCGGCCTCACCCCCGCCCTGATCACCGAACACGGCAAGGATCTCCAGCACGCCCCGGGCGTCAATCCATCCAGCGGCTTCTCCAAGGCCGTCGTTCACCCGCAAACCAAGGCCGATACCGCAGGCGCGAAGTCCGCCACCACCACCTCGAAGAATGATAAGACCGTTGTCAACACAACCACCGTGACAGCCTCGGACGAGTTCCGCACCACAGCCAGCGAGCTCTACAGCACCTTCACGGACCCGCAGCGCATCGCAGCGTTCACGCGCGGCACACCACGCCAGTTCGAGGGCGCCAAGGTCGGCGGCAAGTTCGCTATCTTCGATGGAAACGTGACTGGCGAGTTCGTCACCCTCAACGAGCCCAAGCAGATTGTCCAGAAGTGGCGTCTTGCTCAGTGGCCTGAGGGTCACTTCAGCTCGCAGGAGATCAACTTTGATCAGAATGATATCGACGGTGTTACTCAGATGCGTGTTTCTTGGTCTGGCGTTCCTGTTGGCCAGGAGGACGTCACCAAGCAGAACTGGGACATGTACTATGTTCGCAGCATTAAGCAGACTTTCGGGTATGTCATCTCTCCTTTTTTTTCTAATATATCTCCTCTCCCCTGCTTTTCATCTGTCTCTTCTGTCCATTCCTCTCTTTGTGGTTATCCCGTTCTTCTTTTTTTGGTCTGCCTTGCCAATCCGCGCTCCGTCTACAGATCTCAGCGTTCCTCAAATACGTCGCAATACTGGAATCAGTTACTAATCATACTTGTCCTTCTCCTTGGTGTAGGTTTGGCACTATTCTCTAATCGACTACATCTCTTCTCGATGGCATGAAAGACACAAAACAATGCATTCGTCCGAAGATTTCTTCCTCTTGTTCTCCATGAATTGGCCACAAATAAAGATCGCAAAAGCGCAAGCACTAGATTATTTGCTTTCATGTTCAATTCGTGTCTCTTTTCTTTTCCACCCGTGTGGCCCTTGCAGTTGTGTGTTGGGGTCTGTTGGGCACAATGATGCTATGATAAGAGGAATGGTGTTATGTCTATGATAATGAAGATAAGTTTATGTTTGATCTACTTGAGCCCTTTGATAGATGGTATGCTGGTTACTCTCATATTGCTGGGCTTTGTTTGCCGTTATGGTAACCTTGGGCAGTCGAGCATCTCGGAAATTCTAAGATTGCCGCCTTTTGAGATCGATATTTACCGTTAACGGGTCTCTTTATGAAGAACGCCTCAAGACATCCTTCCAAGATCCCTGATACCGAGATGGATGGAGTCCCGCCTTCCGCCTCTTACAACAAAGAAGTTACTAAGAGGTCGAGGCACTTGTTGTTTGACCCTTTTAGATTGATCTTGATATAGCCTCTTTCCTCCACAGCATGGTGTACATGGTGTACTAACCACCCCGCTAAAGGGTCAAATAACAGGCCCAGCCAAGAGCAAAGATCTTGATGATCATAGAAGCCTATGTCTAGGTAAACTAACCTTTTGGAAGATGGATGCAAGCCTGCTTACGAAATATTACTTGTTCACATAAACGCATACACATCCCCATTGATTGGGTGGATTATAGAGTAGCAATACACACTGTGTTATTTCATTCATTGTCTATGTCATGCCTATATTTTTTACTAGCCAAAAATCTATTCAATTTAAGATCCGACTATACCTTTACAGGGTACGCTCAATGAGCTCCATGCCGTAGTCCTCCTTCAGGGTCTTGATAAGAGGCTCACAGATGTCCCAGGTCACGGGAGCGAGAACACCCTATAATGAAGTGAGTATAGAAAATCTCGAGAGGAAAGAGGATACAGATAAACATACAGTCTTGCTGATAGTACCATCGAGAACCTGCTTAACAGCAACACCGCAAGGAATACCAACGGTGCGGGCCATGGCAGAGCTAACGGGGTTACCGTACTCGCACAGAGTGGAGGTACGGGTCTCCTTGGAGCCGTCCTTGTTCTCGATCTCGAACTTGTGCTGGAGCATGACAAGGTCACGCTCGTCAGGGCCGTACTGCATCTTCTGCTCGAGGGTAGCGCAGAGGGTGTCGAGGACGTTTCCGCGGGGGATAGTCTGCTCGTCGGAGAAGAGACCAATCCAGCGCAGGCCGGAGAGGAGGCGATCACGCTCATCGTTGCTAGGGAACTTAGTCTTAGATGCAATAGCCGATTGCAGATCCTGCTCGGAGGACGAGGACGCGCCGAGAACGGCCTTGGTGGCCTCCTTCCATGAAGTGGCCTTATCGAAGACGCTGTTAGGCGCATCGTTGAGGAAGCCAATATCGACAAGGACCTTGATCATCTCGGGGAAGCCCTGGTAGCGAAGGGTGCCGCGGATAAGGGTCTGGGCCTCGGGGATACCGTAGCGCTCGCGGAAGGGAGTCTGGAAAGATTAGTTGACTGAAACCAAAGGGTTTTAATGTATAGATGCCATACAGAATCGCGGTTGGGGTAGCCGACGAAGGCGAATCCAGGGTAGATGAAGAAGGGCTTAGCGGTAGCCATAAGATCGGGGCCGTCAATGGACACGATCTCACCATCTGTATTGTATATTAACAATCTTGAATCCTTGTTATACGTAAATAAAGTGCATACCCTGGTAGATCTTGGCGGCGTTACGGAGGGCAAGAAGCACACCGCGGCTGATTTAGTTAGTCATTTGTTCAATCAAAAACTCGGAATTGGACTTTTGCTAACCTAGACCACGAGAACTTGAAACAGTCATTTGTCAGTTATTTATCAAATTAGTGAGAATTGGATTTTCGCTAACCTTATAACCCAAGGGGTTGTTAGAGCACTCGGGGGCGGGCAGGCTGTTGTTTGTTAGCTATACCTCCTATAGAATATTGGAATGATCGGACGAACCCTCCACAGAAGGAAACAAATGAGGTAATCTTGCCACCAGCAGCGTGGACCTCGTGGATGGTCTTGACAGCATCTACTTCTTATAAGTGTCGGTCTGTTTAAATCCATGGCATAGACACTTACAGAGGTGATCAAGACCAGGGTCGAGACCGATCTCGTTCATGACTGTGATACCAGCCTCGCGACACTGCTCGTCCAACTCCATCATTGCTGGGGAAACATAAGACGTCGTGACCACGTTTGTCTGTTGTGGTGCATTAGTAAAGTAGCTGCCTCCTCTATATAAACAATAGTTACCTTGGTGCGGATAGCAGACTTGATGACGGTAGCGTGGAAAGTGTAAGGGATAAGCGAAATCACAACATCAGCTTGGTTCAGCGCAGCGTCGAGGGCGGCATCGTCGTTGACATCAAGAGAGATGGCCTTGGCGTTCTTGAAGCCAGAGGCCAGGGCCTGGGCGCTCTCGAGGGTACGGCACGCTGTTATCATATCGTCAGGGATATTCAATGCAAGAAGATTCCGTATAGATTCAATTGGACGTACCAACAGTGACCTCGACATCAGCCTTGCTAAGGACCTCAACAGTGGGCTTAGTGACTACCAGAAATCAAAAATTAGCAAATGTATGACTTTAGAAGCTCGATGCGGGGCACCATGACGCATTTAGGTCTGGGACACTTGGAGAAGAGGCGGGAGGCGTACCGAAGCCTGAACCCAAAAGGAGGGCCTTGGAACCGGCGATTTGCTTGACCATTTTGATTCAATTGGTATGATAGATGATATTGGGGTAGTTCAACTGGAGAACGTCCCGCAGTCCTTCTCTGTGTGACTCAATATCACGTGAACCGGTATCGGCGTGGGGGTTTACTAATCTCTGATTACGCCCGGGCCGGGTGGAAATCGAAAGGCCACTTTTCACCGCCTGCTCTTTGTGGATAATTGTTTTTTTTTTAACATAAAAGAGTCGTTGAAGAGGACATTCCTGTATTTTGATCTATACATGGATAGTACATATATAATGGCGAGAGAGATGCCCAGCGGATAAAGGTAATCTATAAACTCTACGGAAGGAAAAATCTGAGTATTATAGCCAAAGGAGGAGCAAAGTGGATATATAAACTACCAGCGCAGGCAAATAGGAACTGGAGAATTACGAAGTAGATGATATTCTATTTACCGAGGACCGATGTAGTGTACGGCAATGCATAGATATATGCTAATATCAAGTTGGGCGTGCCCAACAGAAACTCCACAGAAAGCAAGACGCGCCAGTGATGCTGAAGCTGAACAAAAACAAGTAGACACAGGGTATATAACAGACAATTTACTAGATGTCTTTGACCTTTCCACCTTGACGCCACATCATCGTGTCAGGACCTTCCTCATTCGATTTTTCGTCGCCGGCAAAGTTCCCCTCTGCATTGGGATCCTGTCGGGACTTAGAAATCCGTCTCTGCCATCCGAGCATCACGGGGAGGAAGTGCCATAGGTCGAACTCTGGCCACATGACATTGAGGAACACAATCTCCGTGTTTTCGTGAGTCTGCCAGAGCATAAAGTCGCTCAGGCGTTCGACGCCCGAAGTACGGATCAGGATATCCAAGGGCGGAGTACCCTTGGTCAACATGTGGTCATTTAGAGTCTGACGAGAGATGGTTTCAGGGGAGATATAAACTGGGCTATCTGCCTCAGTCGCGGGTCTCGGTGGTGAGCCCTTGGGGTCTTGCTGGTTTCCGAGGTGAAGGGTTGTGGAAGACGAGCAGGAAGACATTGATCCATAGATTCGGTCGGAATAGTCGTGCCGAGAAGATACATCATCATCCTGCCCCGAAGAGCCCGATGTAGACTCAGAATCACTGTGTGATTCATGTGTTGTCGAGCCGAGGGTCTGGGCGCGGATATTATGTGCGATATGGGATTCCGAGAAGGGGTTGCGGGAAGCGGCAGCCGCGGAGTGGCACTGTTGAATTGGCGTACTATAATCCTCGACTGTGTTGCGGATAGCAGAGGTGATCTCGTCGCGGGAGGTATAGGGGAAGCAGATATTTAGGACGCGGTCTCCGTTGCGGCTGGTCATGTCGACAGCTTTGTTGACGGCCTCCAAAACATCGGGTTTGAGCATGTCGAGACGGCCCAAGACGCGAACCTTGGCTCCGTATCGATCGAGTAAGTCTCCGTGTTGAGCCATCTGTGACAGCTTCACCTTGGCCATTTCCATGAGCGCATCCACCTCGAATTTTGAGCGTTTGAAATTCTCGATGCTAAAGGCATATATCGTAACTACCTTGACTCCACTCTTATAGCAGACTTCGAGGATCTATGGGCTTGTCAGTATGGCCACAAAATGGGGTGCTGCGGTGTAACACCGAGCTAACGAAATGTAGCACTCACTCTTGCAAGAGCTTCAAACCCCAGATTATGTCCCTCCACTGTCTCGATTCCGTGTGATCGGGCAAAGCGCCTGTTTCCATCCATAACAAAGGCCACATGCTGGGGAACAGGGCCCTGTTGGATCGCGCCGATCAACAGTTCCTTAAGGCTCGTGATGGCGTATTCGGCAGGTGGAGATGCGAGGAACCAGTTTCGGAGACGCGACATATGCATTGAGCCTGACATGGTGAATATGTGAAAAGATATAATCCCCTAAACTCCGTAGAAAAATGAAGAAGTTGTGGAGACTGTAGAGACTTGTGTATGGAGTGGAAGAATAAAAGGTGCACGGTTAGCGGCTGGCCGGATTCGGCTTTGTACTACAAAATGCGACGTGGTCAGTTATGATCACAGTCTTAGCTGTAAGGGGGCAAATTTTTAGAATAATTCTTGAGGCGATGCAAAATTACTTAGGCTGCACCATTTTTATGTGCATTTTTAGATTCTGAGAGTTACCTCTAGCCTGGTCACAACGCAGCCCTGAAAGTGGCGAGGCAAAAATGAATCATCGGCCAAGATCGGCGATATCTTCAATACATAATTGGTTGACTTCACTAGCACCTATAGCCTCAAAAGTACGTATGTGCATGTACTTTGTACAAAGTAGGATGTACAATTATATTAACTACACGGATCGTTTTTCTTCGATAATACATAATAATCAGTTGATCCTCAGGTGGATGTTTCATGACATTCACACATAATCATAAAAAAACAAAAAACAAAAAACAAAAAACAGAGAGGATATCTTGAATGGATATATAAGAGCAGATACGTACACAGCTTCGCGCCGAACACCCTGGTTGATGGTCGGTATGGAAAATGATTGAATAGTCAAGACAGTTCACATCTCAAAGTTCTTTTCGGGACTCCTCAGTGCTGGATGGAGTCCCAGGGCCTGAGCTGGCCATATCCCAGCTTCCATCTTCACTTCGACGCCGACGACGCTCTCCACGCTCTCTCATAGCATCACGAATCCGTGAACTGACATCCTCAAGCGGGTCTTTTGGGGTGAGAGAGCTGAGAGAGCTGAGCGGCTTCAGCCCGTGCCGAGACCCAGGTCGGCCGCTAGCAGATCTGCTGCGGCTACGATCACGACTAGGAGGTTGTGTGGAGAAGAAGCCAATATTGGCCAGGTTGTGGAAGGACTCGTTGCGGGGCAGTGGCTCTGAAGAGGGCATTTTCGCACCATGCTCTGCCACGCTGGTTCTTCTAATCTCCGGCACTTCGTTTTCGGTCTTGGTATCAATGTTGCTCGCTTCTCGGAACGGATCGGTGACAATCCGAGCGGCATCAAAGTCGGGGAACAGCTCAGGTCCCATGGTATTGATCGCGTCTGTCACTTGCTGAGCCAGTGCAGCACGTCTCTCTCGAAGTTTCACCAGCGTGTTGGCTGATGATGGGTTCAGAGATAGAACAAGCGGGCGAAGTGACTTGATGATATCCATGCCCACTTCACCGATCCGAAGAGCTGCAAATGTAATTGTGGGGAAGAGCACCATGCCAATCATCACTACGGACCAAAGGGGCACCCAGTCTGGAACTATTCCATTGACTCGATTCGAATACGTCCAATAAGTGAAGGAAGCAGTGTAAAAGGCATAGAGTGCCGGAGCAAATGCAAGGGCAATAAGAAGCTTCCATGTGGCCATAACATCTCGGCCTTGAAGTTTCACTGTAGAAGCAGCCAGCGCTTCCTTGGACTTCTTTGCCGAGAGGTGCTTGGTCGCGATGAAAACGGGGGTAAAGAGCAGGAAACCGGGGAGCGTGCCGATGGCCAAGAGTGCTAATTTGCCTAGACGGTAAATCAACGTAGCCACCACCTGCAAGATGGAGAACTTGGCATAGGCCACTTGGTGATCCCGGATTCCGAGAAGACGAAGCTGTTTGTTATATCCTACAATAGACTTGCGTAGGTTGACGATCCGGGGATCATCTTTGAAGTGGGCATAACCTTTCACAAGACGGCGGTTCAGCTCCACAACCATAGGAAGAGGAAGCTTTTTGCCTTTAGTGTTGTACAGACGACGGGCAGCTTGGATAACCTTTGAATTGTTAGTGGAACGCAAATTTCCCGAAATATGAAGAAACCTACCATAAGAGTCTCATAATCGGGACTAGTGACAGTGACCGAGACGAGACTTCCGTAGATGATTTCCAGCAAAGCACCGACAGATTCCCGTCGTTCACCTTGCTTGAACTGCTCCACCAATTCTGGGGGAATGTCAATTGGAGTACCAAACTCAATGACAGCCCTGGAGCGGAACTTGTGGGCATGGAAATAGTTCATGCCACAAGGTACAATCTTCAAACCACAATCCGGGTTTTCAGCTAGGGTGCCTAGAGCCATCAGAGCGACACCAGCTGTATCATGTCAGTAAATATTTCGGATCTCTTAGGCAAGGGGAGTTTACCTTTTAGGGGAAGCAGTGTAGTGCGATCATGGCTTCCACCTTCAGGGAAGATACCAACACAGCCTCCTGCGCCCAGTCTTTTGAATACTGCCTCATAGACTGCGGTCTGATCCACATGCGGAGCAACCTTGAATTTGGTGCCCTTGAAGTCCGGATTCTGCTTGGATGCATCTCCAGTGAAATTCCCATCGCGATCAATATCTTCCCGTCCAGTAAGCTGAGCTAGCGCATCCCTGTGCTTGAAAGCCTTCTTGAGCACCAATTCCTCCGGTCCCTTGATCTCGGCGATCGCTGTACTGTGTGACGTTCCGTTGATGGTAGGTAGAGCAATAGTTCCGTCCTTTTCGAAGCCTTTTCCTTCAAAGTTGGTTCCTACACCTCGCAACAGAGTTGGCTCGTTGATCGGGTCGGGAAGATAGATGGTGCCGGTCCCCGGTTTCAAGTTGTCCATCGCACGTGCCACGGGCAGTGTCCCAATTCCTCTCGCTAGAAACCCGATGAACTTGCGTTTGAAGGATTTGTCAGCGATAAGCCATGAGATCCGACGATGCGCTTCGCTGCGAATGACGCGCATCAGCACCAAAGAATCCACGAACTGGGTGAACATCCATTATTAGCATCTTGTGTGTGTGTGTGTGTGTGTGTCTCGGTCCGGAAGCGAGCGGCATACCTGGTTTGCATGGGGAGCTGCCACCAGAATGATGGGACCGCGGCGGGGAATCTTCCATGAGCCTCGGGGGTGGACTTCGCGGAAGAACAGGTCGATGAGCACGGAGAATGTCCAAAGGACCAAATCATACATCCACCCAATGAGGGGTGGGATGTACTGGCCTTTTTCTCCCATTGCGCCGTAGAAGCCCGATAGGCAGTTTCCGGGGGAAAAGAAGGCTGGAGAGTCGTGAAAGCCTTATGATTGTGTCGACATGAAGTCCCTGGGAGAAAAGATGAACGTTAGTACGGCTAACCGGAAGAGCATAAGATCCACCTACTTGGCTATTTCGAGCCTCGGAGCACCACAGACTACCTAATATATTTGATAGACAGGGTATCAGATCATGAGATCAAGTAGAAAAAGAGGGGGGAAGTTGGAAGTTCAAAACTGGAAACCTAGGAAGTTCTTAGCGCGCTTTGACTCGGACCCTTCTAGAACGTGACATGTTAGAACAATGTAGAACTTGAATTATGACTTAAACTGAGTTGTCTTCCTATATGTACCGAACTATTAATTGGATTATCTCTACTCTGTACTTCATACATATAAGCTACATCAGCTAATATGATCAGTCACACTGAAAAGCTCCAAAACTCATATAACTCCTTCTAGTTAGCACCATTGTACAACATTTGCAACATACCTAAGTAACAATCTCATGAGCAATACCTACATATGTAGGTATGAGATCAACCTTCTGACCAAATATTCCCACACATATATGCAAAATGTTGGGATTCAGTGATCAACGCGTCATGCTTCTTTTTTTTTATGTGGAAGCTATAACTAAGCGAAGTGCATTAAAGATTAAGCTTAACACGGTGGAGACAATATATTTCGTATGCATAAACAGTTGATATAGTATATATGTAGTTAATGGAATGAATAAATGATCTACATATAATAACAAAGAAAAAGTGAAACAGTTTCCACAACGTACAACAGCACAACGTAGAAGCTTCCCCTGCAGGTTCGTCTCCCCGCCTGCCCCGCCTTTCCACTTCACTTCGCTTGATATTGCAAGTCTGCAGCCTGCACTTCACTTGAAACCCTGAAACCATTCGAGTGGCTTTTTGATTTTATCTTCTGGAAAATCTACAACTCTTGTTTTGATCCATCCCCACGACGTCCAAACCCAGTATCTACGCGCCTTTGATTTTCCAAGTCGACATCCAATCTAACCACCATTTTCCTGCTGGGGGTTGGGCTGATAAAAACCGTGTCACATGCACCTGGAATAATCTCGCATCATGTCTCTCAAGTATGCCTCTGCTTCTCATGGCAGTTTCGCTGCTTCTCCGACCTGGATCAGACCTATATGAGGATCTATACTAACTGCCTAGTTGGGTAATGCTTGATGACCAGGACGGCTTTGTCCGTCTTCCCAGCGAACGTCTGATATACTCTTCCCCTCCTCGGACTAGTGTCTCTTTGACTCCGCCGGCGGGATACAAAGGCGCAGAAAAACTTTCAATCCAAAGTAGTGCCGGTTGCATCCACCTTACCAACCAAAGAGTCAGTATCTATCCATATCCATGTTTTCTCATTCTTTTAACACTTACTAGGTTGTCTATCTTCCCGCACCTAGAAGCAAGGATTTCCAGTCCTTCTCGTCGCCTCTCTTGCATGTCCGTGATTCCCATGTATCTGCACCATTCTTTGGACCGAATGTATGGACGGCTCTGGTACAACCAGTATCTGGAGGTGGCATTTCACCATCCCTGCCTGCCATTCAGTTAAAAGTAACATTCAAGGAAGGCGGAGCCTTTGATTTCCACACCAACTTCGAGCGGATCAAGGAACGACTTGAGCAGGCTGTTGAGAACACAAGCGAGGTCACTCGGGGGCAACAAAACGTGGACCTCTCAGCAGTTCATTTGGAAGAGTTGCCCGCATATGAAGCTCCACCTAACGCTAGCCAAAGCGCTAGACCCAGCGAGACACCAGAAGAGTCCCAAAGCAGTCGAGCATCTGACACGGGCACCGAACCCGTGGAGCCACCTCCATGTTATGAGGAAGTTCAATCTCAAAGTGTAGCCCACGAGCTGGAGGAGAGGCTGCGACGGGCCACCTAATCTTTTTTGATATGAAGCGGAAGCCTACATGCCATTCTATCACATATTCGAACTGGCCTTGCTTTTTTTATCTATTCTCATGTACATTATGCCCCATCAATTAACAATTAGCGACACGAAAGCGGTGCTTACACTTAGAAATGATATGCTCGCCAACATTTATTCTCAGCAAATAATAGTAGAATAATCCAAGATCCCCAAGACCCTTATATCAAGCGAAAACAGCTTCAGTATTACTAACTTCCCCATAAACCCATGGACTGGACTGTCAAGGTCTCGAATGGTGTTGGAGCCCATTGGCCAATCACGTGCGGCATAATTGGCGTCTCTCAGCGGCCGGCCCTTTCCGATTTTCCAGTCCGAAAGAAGCAGCTCTTGGGCAAAACCAACAACCTCCTCAATTACAACCCCCTTCCGCCTTTCCACCCACACAAGACCTCCGGTCATCATTCAATTGATCTCTGTCGCAATGGGTCTCTCCGACTTTTTCTCTGACGTCGTCTCCTCCTTCGGGTTCACCGAGGCCCAGGCTGAGGCTCCCGTTCAAGACACCGAGACCGAGACCACCACTCAGGAAGAGCCCGCCGAGAAGGAGGAGTCCGCCTCCGTTGAGAGCGTCGAGACCGAGTCCGCCGAGGAGACCCCCGCTGAGGAGTCTTCTGAGGAGGCTCCCGAGGAAGAGGAGGCTGAGGCCGAGGAGGAGGAGGAGGAAGAAGAGGAGGAGGATGAGCCCGAGGACATCAAGCCCAAGCTCGAGGAGGGTGAGTGACGTTGCTGTTTTTCTGACATTGGCTTTTTTATTCGCTTTCCATTGTTGCCTATGTCATGCGATCGTTGGACATGGATCGTTCGCACCAATTGGTCTTATGTGTCAGGATCCGTGTCTGGGCTATAAAACCGCCAATGACATAGCAAAAACGAATTCCATTGGGTTTATCGGAAACTAACTGTTATTTTCAGAGTGCGCTCACTCCGCCGTCTGCGCTCCCTACAAGCACCACTACGACGAGTGCGTTGAGCGCGTCACCCGCCAGGAGGAAGATGAGGACTACAAGGGCCCCAAGGAGGACTGCGTCGAGGAGTGTAAGTACAATTGACGTCAATGATGGAATCAGACAACCATGGAAATTCCTGCCATCGAGTCCTTATTGTGTGACTAACATAACCCACCTTAGTCTTCCACCTCACTCACTGCGTGACCGCCTGTGCTGCCCCCAAGCTCTGGAGGGAGCTGAAGTAAACGACTCTTCCATTGAGTCTTGACTTCGGCGTTCCATCCAACCCTCGCATCGATCTAGCCTACGAATAGCTTCGCTCTCCACCGCATCGATACGAAGGAAGCTTTTGGACCGAAACGCCAGAAGAAAAACCAATCCCGCTTTTATGATGGCTACCAATGTGAACTGATAGCCTGGTAGCTTGCCGTCTTGGATTGAGAACGCAGGATCGATCCAGAAACGTGAAACTTTGTTTTCTGCTCGTTCTTTGCGTATGTGTGCGCATATTGTGTTTTCAAGGCAGAGAGGAGGGCTCAGAGCATGAAGGAATAATAGATCATTTGTCCTCCTCTTCCAGCCTTGCGTGTACAGATAGCTGGTCTTCCGCCTGTTCGAACTGTGCTTTTGTTTATTGTATTGTTTTAAAACGAATCTCATCTGTCTAGATTGGCATTGTGCTTTGGTAGGCTAGGCTCACAGCCATATCCAACTATAGGATGTACATAAGTCGGTTCAGTATTGTCATAGTCAGATTACTGATCCGCAAGTTATACTCAATTTGCTAACTAAGACTGATATATCGACAAATCAAATCGCATCAAGTCCCTGTGAGTGGTCACAAATCCAAAAGACATGGTTGTACATATCATAAATGGGGGTCCACCCCAGGACTCCAGGTATAGCCTTGGCTGATCAAGGGACAACAGAAATAAAGTCTGGACAAGAGAATCATGGCCATGGCACAATAATATATAAAGGAGCGAAATGTCACAGGTCTTCCAAACTGGCGTCGAGGAAGACAATTCGCACATCCTAGAAGAATTCAGATAACGACAGAGTGCGTAATCCTCTCAGGTCTTGATCAAAGTATCAGTATCCACAGCAGATTCATCAGACCTAACCTTCCTGATATTATCATCCGTCCCAACCGCTTCCCTAACCTCCTGCAACTCAACACCGCGATCAACATTCAATCTACGATGATGAACGACCCTCCCAAAAAGCCCAATCGTCAACGGAAATGGTGCAGCCACAACAGCAACCACAGCCGCAAACACCAACGCATTCCGCATATGATAAGGTGGCGCAGCCCCAGCCCCAGCCTTCAACGCATCCTGAATAAGAATAAAGCACGCGCCAAGCAACTGCCCACCTGTCCAGCAGATGGTACTTCCAATCTCCGATGAGAGCGGATAAGTAATCTCAGCAAGGTACTCTAGAGCAATCGGCAGCATTGAGAACGATGCCGCGCCCAGCAGAGCCATAACCACATACGAAGGCGCGATTCCCGCCGCACTGCCCGGCGCGAAAATCAGCCCGATATACGTGACCGCCATGATAGGTACTAGCACCCGAATACTGCCCAGGTAGTGCTTGTACCGATCTGTTATTGGCGACACGATTGCTGACGTGACGAGTCCCACCACGATGAGAATGGCTCCTGCAATGCCTGCTTCTGTTTCTGAGAACCCGTGCGGACTGAGGATTTGGTTCAGCAGCGAGGAGACGCTATTGAAGAATCCTACATATACAGAGAACGGGATAAAGATCTGCCAAAATTCCCATGTGCTGGTTAGTTTGCGCACTTCTGCGCCTAATGGCACGTACGGCTTTTCGGAAGATGCGCTTGCGGGTGTTGGTGGTGATCCCGGGAGAAAAAATGATGGGATTGATGCAACGGTGGACTGTTGGGTACGCGGTGTGTGAGCGAGAATGAGAAAGAACCAATGAGTAGCTTGGGACTTTGGGGAAGATGGGTTTCACGTACAATGATCGAAATGTATAGGACCATATTTGGGATTTCGGAGGGTTGCGACGCCCACTCCGAGTCGATGAGCTGGCCTAGGGCTGCGCCGAGTGGGTTCGCGAGACTGGCGACGGCTGTTGCGCTCGTGCGGCCTTTGTCTGAGAACCAGAGCTCGCTGTATCGGGTTGGTGCGCAGAGGCAGAAGGGCTGCGCGAACCCTATTAGGATCTGGCCGAACATTGCGAGCCCAAATATACCGCCGTTCGCTCTGGTGCCGGCATATCTGAGCCAGTTGCCGACTAGTAGGAGTGTGGCGGTGGTGATTATAGCTGGTTTTGGGCCACCTTTGTTCAGGATCCAGATGACGACGCTGGGAACCTTGTTAGTGAATAGGATACTTGGAGCCCTTTTCTCTCTCTGTCTGGTTCCTTTCTAACCAGCGATTTATGTATACTTACGGGCTAACAGCGCAGAAGGCGAAGAGATAGCCAGTGCTCATCCAATTAATAGCGCTCTCCGAGACATCAAAGTACTCGGCGGCCGTTGTGGAGATGGACGAGAAGGTCAACCACTGGATTCGAGAGAGTCAGAGACATGCAAATTACATGGGTCACGGGGAAGCACATACATCCCAACTGACGACAATATTCAGCAATACCAGCTGGGCCAGCCCCCAGAAGCGTCGCTTATAGACCTTGTAGATAGGTCGAGAGCCCTCGGTATCTGGAGAGAGCCCAAAATTCGACATGTCCACTGTTGTGACAGACCAAATTCAGTCTACAGACCAAATTCATTCTGTGCGGGCCTCTATAATAAAATGAAACAAAGCGGGCATTTTAGCTCTTTTCTCTTGGCCTTTTCATGCTACGATCCGAGGTACACGCAACCGGGGTACTTGGCAGTACTTGATGAGCCCTACTACGATGTTACATTGCACAGGTATTATCAGGTAGTTACTCCCAGGTAGTTTTTTAGTATAAGCGGGGTCGACTGTTCATGTGAGAATGGCTGATATTAATTTATATTAGGACTGTTATAGTTGTTGGATATTGTAAATTACATATGTAAGTATACATTTGAATGTATCTTTACAATATAGTGGATTCTCTAGTCTTTCTATAAACGAATCATCGAACAAAGAACGGGAAATGATTACTTGGATTCAGGGGTAGAGCTGGATATTTCTATTATTTACTCCTTACTCTGTACTCCGTACTACATCTATATGTACTACATATGTACGTGTATATATTCAAATCGAACATATCATTTGTATAGAAAATGTAGAAATTGCCGTGGCTGAACCCTAACAAGTGATGCCGATCGTGTATTTTCTCCTTCGCTCCCCGCCATCTTTTATATTAATTAGCCTCTACCTTCGCTAAATACATCGAATCCCTCTCCACAACTATTCTTCAGCAAACTCAGAGCGATCTACTACTTCCTCCCTCCCTCCCCGATCGCAAACTCCACGACCCGTCACGATGCGCGACGCCCGTTCCTGAATTTCTCCTGACTGCTCCGTATTTGAATCGGAGAGACCCAGGCCATTGAACGACCATGAATATAAGTATGCGCTCCAGCCAATCCTCCTACGGAGACCCGGGGTATCCATCGGCCATGACTGCCCCCGATGCTCCAGCTCCAGTGCCGCCGCACGGAAAGACACTTGTAGACGGGTATCGAGATGCTCTGGACCCCCAACATGAGGAGCGGCCGCGATACAATCCAGTAAGTAGAGGCACAACACGCCAATCTGGGACTCTAGCTGACCATGGTTACTTCTTTTTTGATAGCTCAACCCGGCTCACCCGCGAAGCTCGGCTCTCCTGAATGCCAACGACCCCGTGGCCATGTACCTGTTGACCGAGACCGCCATAGGGGACAGCACAAATTACGAAGTCCTATCCTTTGAAGAGGTGGAAGAGCTGAAGAAGGAAGCCACATTACTGTCCACTCGCATCCAAGGGACGAAGCGGAAACTGGCACTCGAAACGAAACTGCGTGACGCGGCACAGTCTCTCGGTAGGCTTTACAGCCCGCCCAGCCCACGGAGCAGCGGCGAATACGGTACCAATGGCGGTTCGAACCCGCGTCGGATAAGCCGGGGCATATTTGGTCGCAGTGGGGCTTCTGAGGCTCTCGACAAGAGCGACTCCGAACTTGCAGTCAGCCAGCGGCGATGTGAAGAGTTGGCGCAGGAACTCTGGAAGCTGGAGAAGAGGTCTCAGAAGATCAACCAGCGCTTACTGGAGCACACTGCGGGTGTCCTGCAGATGACACACAAGGGGCTGAAGAAGGGCACTAAGAACCCTGCTCCGAGCGAGTTGGATAGCATGTATGATGAGCACAAATTCGACGATCGCAGCCTCTACCGGACAACCGAGAATTTGGATAACTTTGGCGTGCACGGGAAAACCGAGACCAACGCGGCTGCTGTAATGAACACCGAGGCTATGCAGGTTACCGAACGACGATTGCAGGAACTTAGCGAGCGCATGCATGACATGATCATACAGTCCAACCCCGGTGAATTTATTGATCCTCCCCCGCAACTATCAGCAGGCGGAGGGCCCGTCAATCCCACCACAACAGTAGAAGCTCACCTGGCCTACATTAAGAATGGTATGAATAATATCGTCTTGCATACGGGGGACGTTCCTGCTCCCGAGGCTGCTCGGGATGTCGCACCTGAAGCCGAGGGCGCCTGGAAACATCAACTCACCAAAATCAATAACCAAGTGCAAACCATTGTTGATCGGTTTGGTTTGACCCGCTCGCCAACCTTGCCTCCGCCCCCTGATGCGTCTCACGGCGAGGGGCTGGAAGAACAACTTTCATACCTCCAGACTGGTTTAGATGGCCTGGAGAGTCGAGTGGATGGAGTACTTGAACAGAAGAGTATTCTCACCACGCAAATCCAGCAGCAACGCGAGCTCAACTCCAAGTCGGATGCCGAACGAGATGCTCATATCGGCGATCTCACCGAACAGTTGACCCACGTTCGCAGAGAACTTGAAGTATCTGAGCGTGAAGGTAACGCCAGTCGCGACGAGCTGGCACTTGTCATGGGACAGCTTAACACAATGCGCCACAACGGCTCTTCTCAGGAAGAAGCCAAAGCGGCTCTGCTTCAGACTGAGGGCGAAGTCACGCGCTTGCAAAGCATTGTTACCTCGTTGCACAGCGAAGCTGACACCAGGATTAACGAAGTCAGCGAAGCCCGGGATGCTCAAGATCAAGCGGAAGCCGAGGTTAAGCGCCTGCAACACTACATCGACGATATACAGAGAGAAAACGACACCAGAGCTGAGGAAGTCAGCGATGCACGCGACCGTGCAGAAGGTGAGATCAAGCGCCTACAGGTCGTCATTACATCATTGCAAAATGACACCGACGCTAAGAGCGAAGAGGCCAGAGAGGCCCGCGACCATGCGGAAGATGAAGTGAAGCGCTTACAGGTCATCATTGCATCGTTGCAGAACGATACTGACGCTAAAAGCGAAGAGGCCAGAGAGGCCAGAGAGGCCCACAACCATACGGAAGATGAAGTGAAACGGCTACAGTTGGTCATTGCATCGTTGCAGAACGATATCAACGCGAAGAGCGAAGAGACTCGTAGCCATGCGGAAGAGGAAGTGAAGCGCCTACAGGTGGTCATTACATCTTTGCAAAATGATACCGACGCTAAGATCGAAGACGCGATGGAAGCCCGCGACCACGCGGAAGACGAAGTCAAGCGTTTACAGGTCGCCATTGCATCGTTGCAGAATGATACCAACTCTAAAATCGAAGAGGCGATGGAAGCCCGTGACCACGCGGAAGACGAAGTCAAACGCCTACAGGTCGCCATTGAATCTTTGCAGAACGACACAGCTGTCAAGATCAAAGAGGCCATGGAGGCCCGTGATCGTGCGGAAGATGAAGTCAAGCGGCTACATATCGTCATTGAGACTTTGCAAAACGACACCGATTCTAGAGGCGAGGATATCAAGGAAGCCCGGGACCGCGCGGAGAACGAAGTCCAACGCCTACAGGACGTCATCAAAACACTGCAGAACGATAGCGATTCCAGATCAGAGGAGGTTATGGATGCTCGTGACCGCGCAGAGCAAGAGGTGGCTCAACTCGAAGCCGCAATCCAACAGATCCGGATTCAATCTGATGCCCGCATTAAGGAAGCGGATGATGAGCGTGTGCAGTCCAGCCACGACGCCACTCGCCTGCAGAATGAGATTATCGAGCTCGAAGGCGAGATTGTGCGGGTCACAACTGAACTAACAATGGCCAAGGCAGAGCTGGACGGTGCCTATGGTACCCGAGCAGAACGCGCGGCAGAGGTCTCTTCCAACCCTAGTATCCAAAGGGAGAACGATGCGCTGGTTACCCGAAACATCGAGCTCACTGAAGAACTTGCCGCTTTTAAAAGCCAGCGAGGAGGTGGTGATCTTCAACAGCGGGCGGATACTCTTGAAAGAGAACTTCGTGAGACCATCGATGACTACGAAGCCATGACGAAAGCCAGCATTGAGTTTGAGAAGGAACGCGAACGCTTCGAAAGTTTTATTGACAGTCTCCGGGATCGTTGCGAGCAACTAGAGACCCAACTGGCAGAAGAACGTATCAGCTGGATGAACCTTAGTAGTCCTACATCTGTGGGCCGCGATGGCACTTCCGAGACGACATCTACCATGGTGCTTAAGAATGAGTTTAAGAAGATGATGCGTGACACGCGCAACGAGAACATGAAGATACTGAGGGTGAGTTGTATTATACCTTCCTCTCTTTTCTAACTAACGCCTCCTAGGCCGAACAAGAAGAGCGTCGCAGAGTTGAAGGATTACTACGAGCCCTAAGAAAGGAGCACGCCCAGGTGACTGGGAGGCCAATGCCCAGCCCAGGTAGCACTCCATTATGATCATGACATCCAACATTGCTGGGTTTTGAGCGCATATTCATTGAAGAATGTACATATTCATTGTTCTCTATTTTGTATAATATTTTTTTTGGTTTGATCTTGGCAGGCACGATGAGGATTTTCGAGTAAACCACATACTCATCTTTTTCCCACCTGTTATTCTCCCGTACATAATATTTTCATCTTGACCTCATCTTGACTAGGTTCCGCTCTTTTGCCTTCAAGATGTTTGCCCGAGGAAGACTCGATCAGTCCAGTAACCTCCAGTCACAGTTTTTTTCAGCATCACAGAGCCTCCGACATGGAAAATATCCCGAGTCAGACTCCATTTCACCATACGATAGCCCAGAATCATCCGAGTCCATCCTAAGCGATGAAAGATCTATATACAATGCGATCAGAGTGACCACGCCAAATGATTCCAGCCCTCGTTTCTATGCGTCTCTCTCCCATGAGAACCCCGTTCACGAGCAAGACTTAGCGATAAACATGGCCAGGTTCGTTCCTACAAATTTACAGGATGATCATACTCCTACCAATGTGCCAGCCAGGCGGGGAAGACGACAGAGAATGGTAGGAAAGCTTGGGAATCACACGAAGCTGTTATCTGACCAGTACTGGCAAGCCACACATCGGTCGGGACCTGCTTTTTGTAGAATGACATCGATACCAGGTTCCAGTCGGTCTTTACATCGCAAGGCTGTTTCCCTTGGTGCAGACAGTAGTATGCGCAGGCCTAGATGGCCTGGGAACTTGGGACCTGCAGTAACGACCGTCCAGCCTCGATATCCACCGCCAGAAAGGACGCCTACACCCCCTGGTCTCCCTTCCTTTGGCACGTCAGAGGCTATGTGCTACTCTGCACGGTTCATGATCCCAGACAATGGTGCAGCCTTGCAGTGCGGTTCTGGTAGTGGTCAGCGTGCCAGTTCTTATGGTGATACCCTAAGAAGATTGTTTGGGTGGCCATCTTCCACATCTCATGCTGGTGGTATTTCTGTTAATGGTATAGGAAGGGCTGAGGATGGTACGGTGGTACAGGGCCGATTCCCCCATCGACAAAGTGGCCATGGAATGAGCATCGGTCGACAGCTGCATGAGCATCCTTTCCATCAACGCAGTCTTCCCATTGCCCACCACGAAGCAACAGATACAAGCCACGATCCTTATATTGAAGCTGAACACACAAAGGGTGGTCTTAATCTTGGGCCTCGCCCAAACAGGCGTGTCCAGCCTCTGTCCTCCCAGCCTAGACGACATTTTCCCTTTCCATCAAACCAGGTCCCTACTGTGGTAAATCGCCCATCGCGGCCCAGAGCCACTGCACTTCTCAGCTTGTCGCGCAATTTGGCTGGATCAGATGGTCCTGCGGATTCAGTGGAATCTTCTGTTCAAAGGACTAGGACAGCTGGAGACCATCTCCCTTCCAACCCATCGCGGTTGCATTCGGTTTTCACGATGGCTGTCCGCGGCGGTGGTGCAGATGAAGGCGCTCACGCAAGCACGCCCGTCTGTCCGGATGTTTCGTTGTGGGTGAAAGCCCATACTTGTCTCTTCTGCTGCCCGGGCAGTCACGAGGAGCCAGATGATTCGCTCGGAGCAACCAGTTCGCGGGAAACATACGTAACTGCCCAGAGCCAGATATCGCCTGCTGGATCTCAGAATGAAAGCAGTGGGCAGAACACTCGTCTCCATGGCCTCCAGGCATGGATCTCGTCTCTGTACGGTGTCATGTTTCCGACCCTTGTGAACCCTGCCGCTGTGTAATCTTTCATCAAAGTATATGCACATCCACGACCTGTTGCATTGCTACTATCATGCTTTTTCCTTTCATTTCTGAATGCTCGGTGCATGAACGTGCTTTCTAAGTGGTCTTATCATTAACTCGAACGTGTCCTAGCATCATGCTACTGTACATATATATATGTCCCTCCCTTGTCAGCTAATGCTCTACACTCGAACACGAGATGGTTCTTTTCTCCTACTCTGAAACTCGTACATGATTGTTTCCTATCCATAACAGACTATCATAGGAAACCCTCTCCAAGGCCTTCGAATATAGTTCTTCTCGCAATCACATTGATGAATGTTTTGCAGGTTCCTTCATTCTTATAGATCATAAGACTCCAGCCCATGTAAATGAAACTTCGTTTCTACTTTCACCAGGTGTTCTACATCTTTGCCTAGTGGTAGTATAGGTTAGACTTTACCCCGATCATCCTTACAACCCAGAAACCGAGAAAGACCAATCCCTCGGAAACAAACTATACTGCACATCATCCCTATCTCGGAAGATATCATCATAGTGCGCAATACAAGTCTGTGGATCTTCGGCCTGCGCATAGTACCTATCCGCGAGCGCCTTAAATACTGGATCACTCCACATCTTCGCCATCCACGCCAGGGCATCAGGGCCAGCACCATCTAGCGAAAGACCATAAGAGCGGAACCTCTATATCTCAAAGTCAGCCAAGGCTCTGATTATCTTTTCTTCTTTTTTTTTAAAGAAAGGAAAGAGACCCACCCATAGAATCGGCCAAAAGAACGCATCTGCAATACTAAATCCACCAAACAAAAACCCTTCATCAACCTCTCCTAGTACCGCAAGGCGCTCTGTCGTCGCCTTGCGCGCCGAATCCCAGATCCGGAACATGCGCGCTATTTCCGCGGCGGCGCCATCGGGGATCGGCACGTTGCCCGTGTACCTGGCGAGGAAGTTTGTGTGAAAGTTATTCCGCAGGACTGGGAAGCCGGAATGCATTTGGGCTGCCGCGCTGCGGGCTAGAGCCCGCAGAAGGCGATCTTTAGGCCAGAGGGGAAGGGTTGGGTTTGATTCAGCGAGGAATTCGCAGATAGCGAGGGAATCTGTTATTGTTGCTGAGGGGAGGGAGTGACATTGGAGGATTGGGACGAGGCCTGTTGGGGAGAAGGATTTTGTCTGTGGAGAATTTGTGAGTGGCTGTATACTTGTCTTTATGCTGAGGATAGGTGTAGGTAGGCACCTCGGAGAGCTGTATGAATTGGCGTGTATGGGGAATCTGGAAGTATTCCAGTACTGCTTCGACGCGTGCAGTCCAGCCTATATGGAGAGGGTTTGTTAGATATGGTATATGAATGATTTGCATGTTGCTTACTGGAGTAACGAGTGTATAGCCCGATGAGGTGATAATCCGGGGTGGCCATGATATCTAGAAATGTAGAAATGTACTCCGTAGTGTTTTTAGTGAAGTTCACTTGAGTGGGAAATTCCAAGTAGTTATTCCATGGAAGGATATAGTTCGTGATGAGTCACCGTAATTAGGTACTCCCATGGATCCCTGGATGTGGTGCACGGGTCCCACCTTCCCAATATGCCAATGTATACACAACATACATATAGGAACGTTACATATGTATCCATAGAAGTCATATAATTTGATGCTAGTCATAATGCTATCAAATGCCGCACCGGCGCCATGCAATGGAGATAACAATGAGATTGAAAAAAAAGATCGAAAAATGAAACTCCGAAAAAGATATGAGACCTGGATAGCCAGCACTGACTCCTAACACAGAAGTCAAAATAAGAAATACATAATTTGATAGGAAGCATGAGCCCACTGTAAAAATATGACACGACATTGAGAAGACGGGCAGAGAAAAAAGGGGACACGGGGAGGGAGAGAGAGAAAGTGGGAGAGCAAGGAGCAATGCGCCAGGCAAAGAAAACACAACGCGATCACATGGATGCTAATAATAGGAAATCGTCAAGTGAATTGAGCCGTCTTTTCAGGGGGTTCACAAATTGCGCCCAGTAAGGACGATGCAGGATATGCATTGAATTAAGACAATAACAGACGCTGGTATTAAAAGAGTATAGGCGAGAAAGATTAAAGACCCTTGAAGAATGGACTCGCTTCGATGATATCATGATCATCGCAGGCAAAATCCCACCCCACAATGCGAGGGTCCACGCTCGCACATATGAGCTTCCGTGCATCAAACTGGAGTTTGAACACTCTCGCAGCTGTCGAGGACCCTTGAGGTCTGCGTTGATGAGCATGGTGGTGATGATGGTGAGCAGGAAGTGGGTTGGGTGGCAGGGCGTTGATAACCACAGGAGGCATGACTTGTGGGTTGGCACGACCAGCGTGGGGGTTGACATTGGCATTTTGTCCAAGTGTCGCCAAAGCCTGTGCTGCTTGCAATTGCTGAGCCTGGGCCGCAATGGTGCTTCGTGCCACCTGGCTTAGGTTCGCACGAGCTGAATTGGCAATGGCATCACTGTGTCGCAGTTGGTGATCCGTTGTCCACTTGTTATCACGGTCTTTGTGCCATATTAGGATTGACTCGTCGTAGGAACCGGACACGATACGAGCCCAGCTACTACCTCCCCCACCGGGTGGGATTTTTGCTCCCAGAGCAGGCATATCGCGAGGGTCTCGTGATCCCGCAGTGTTCGGTTGGTAGCCATTGCGGCGTTGCTCCCGATGACCCATGTCGACGTCCACTCCGGCCTCTCGAGCGGCGTAGAACGCTGTTTCACATGCTCGAACTTCTTCACGCAAGGTTTCATCGGCTCCCGGAGCATCCCCAAACCCCGCTTGAAGGGTGCGAACCAGATTACTGTGAGCTCGCAGACATGCCACCTCAGCTCCCGTGGCATGATCGTAGATGCGCACAGAGTTATCATTGCTACCACTGATGATTCTTCGGCTGTCGAACTCAACACATGCGATGCCTTTCTCGTGGCCCGGCAAGGTCCTCGAGCAATCACCAGTGCGGATGTTCCAGACCTTGATCACTCGATCTCCAGATGCCGTCACGATATCATCACCATGGATCTGCATCGCGTTCACAGCAGCTCCATGTCCTTCCACGGTCATGAGCAAAGTGTAAGGTTTTAGGACTTTGTATTGATCATGCGCAATGCCAGCTTCAAGAACGCTCGGTGCAATCGCGTTCAGATCTATGATCCATCCAGGATATGTGGCACCTGAGTCATGGCAGATATGCGGATAATCCTTGCTGTTCGGCAGAAGATCTCGGCGGTTCCATACCTTCACAGTTCGGTCTTTGGAACAGGTTACAAGGTACCGATGATCGAATTTGAGATTGAGCACCGAGTCGAGATGCGCTTTGTCAATTTGATGGATCTTTTCTCCAGAGGAGAATTTCCATACGATGACGGACTTGTCGCTGCTGCCGGAGATGATGATGTCTTCCTCGGGTCGAGGATCAAATTGCAGGCAAAGTACGGACTTGCTATGTCCCACCAGCGGGGGATGCCACAGTCGTTTGGTATCCAGGTTCCAGACTCGCACAGTCTTGTCTCGGCTCCCACTGACTAGCCATCGGCCCTCAAATTGGATCGCATATACGCATTCCTTATGAGCTTCTTCCGGGTAGGATGGGTCGGGAATTTGGAAATTGGTGTATCGTCCTTGGTGCCAATTTGCTTCAAGCCGCCTGCGTTGCTTGTAGATATGAAAAAAGTTGACTTTGGCGCTTCCGTCGGTATCCCGTATGAGAAGACCCGATCGTAGAGGTGGGTACAGTGGTGAAGAAAATTGGGGGATAGTAGTTGGTAGAATGGACTCCGGGTTGTCAGCGAACGAAGGTGCAGTTTGATCGTCATCATCCGTCATGTGGTGATCACCTTCACTGTCGGCCACCGGGGGCGCAGGGCCAAACATGGTCGGTCTTTCGTTTTCATCGCTCCGTGAATCGAGCCAGGTCGACGGCACACGCTTTTTGTGTTTGGGTTCCCCGAAATCTGGTTCCGAGTGCCGTGGACGGGATTTCCGGGTCTGCGGCGACACGGCCTCAGAATGCTCCTGCTCGAATGCACGAATCGCGCTCGTGTCCATATCCCAACCTTCCTGGATGTAGCGGAATCTCCATAGGCCCGAGTCGAGGATACATTCACGCCATGATCGGGATGCAAGCGAGGCATTTAGAAGTGTCCGAGCGTCAAGGTAGGTGAAGATCTCCCATGAGACTTCCGGGGGAAGCCTGACAACTGGATCAATATGGAGGATGGGGTTAAGTCGATCAACTACTGCGGCGATACTCGAGGTTCGTAGAGACCGAAGAAGGCTGTATGCGAGTTCTGAAAGTGGGAAGCCTTCGGTTAGCAAGGGAAACCGCAAAGTGACAGCAAGAGGCTGGTGCTTCGCGCTCGTAGAAATGATCACAGAGGCAAAGAGAAAAGGATATTTTACCAGCTCTGCCGGCCTCGGACTGGGCGAGGATCCAACTTGGAAGCGCCATGACATTGTCCGGTCCCAGATCTTTGTCGGCCTGGCTTCGAGTATCGTCCGAGTAGCCTTCATCTATCTTAAAAGATGGTGACAGAGAAGGTGCGGGGGATTCGGAAATGGCAGTTGTCTGCAATTGCAGTGTGGGTGAGATTTGAGCATCAGGCAAGGGCTCGCCCTCCATTGATGCGGGTTTTTAGAAGGGTCTGCGCCGAGCTGATGAGTCGAACGCCGAGATCAATGGTGTTGCGCGATGGCTCCGAAATCCTGCAAGGAACTTTTCACAAAGAGATTATAGAAAATTAATAAATAAAGGTAGGGTCCTTTGCAAAGAGGAGGGTTGAGAAGCGGAAAGAGGTTAAGCAGATGGGTTGGCCTCGGTGCATGTCACGTCACCTTTGGACGAGACAGGGTCCACCAGATTGATAGAGCGAATTATCGCGAACTTCAGTCGCAAAGTTTAAAAGGGGGAATCTCGATTTATATGAGAAGTAGGTGGGCAAAGTAGAATTTCAATTTATATACAGA